ATTCGGACCTGCACCGAAATCGTCCATATTTAGCAAAACTTAACTTCAAAAAGATAACAACTAAAACAAAACTATAAGAGAACAACAATAATACAATAACAACTCAATCACGGAATACACAAGAAGAAAGGCAATAATATTCACAAACAACAAGAAGAAAGAACAACAAGAAAGGCAATAATATTCACAATTAATGAGAATCCCAGATTACCTACGTATTTTGACTATTATGAATACATCATAATCTGACAAAATGAAAAGCTGTACTACCGAAACGATTAAAGGAATTAGGCAACGTTTTAAATTTGGTAGAGTAATAGTGACATGTGAATCGTGCCGAGAGTATCCAACCCTGCTTCTCTAGGTTCTTTAAGATGAACACTTTTTATTGTAAAAGTTATTAAATCTTTTAAGTTGGTCAAACACTCATAATTTTGTTTAACAGGTAGCTGAAACGACGACTGTTAAGTATAGCAGCTGGTATTTAAGTGGATATGTAGCAAATTAGCTGTTAGTCTTAAGAGTAACATAATTTTTAATATTTTGTCACAAAGTATACCTTAAAAAGAACCTTATTTAACTTTTGTCTAATGCTATAATGAATGGAGTATAAGTAATTCAACAACGGAATCTTTGTTAAGGTCGTTGAGCAAAGTTAAAAAATCGTTTCGTTTTCGTCGCACATCCCCATATACTAAATACAGTGCGTCAAAACTGATTGAGCTAAGGAAATATATATTTGTTTTATTATTTTTGTTGTTGTCAGATATCTTTATAAAGCCAGATAATCTTCCGGATTCCTGTCAATTAAAGCTCTATATGCAAATGCCAGGATAATCGCTGGTCCAATAGTACACCCAAATATTTTGTGTTGGTGACTTTACTTAATTACGGGCATAAACAATGAGTGCTAGAGAAGTCATTACAATAATGTACCTATTTTAATATTAAAATTTTTAGACTGCGTTTTAATATAATTCAAAAAACATATCATTTGTCTTGGTCGCATTAAGAGTCAAAAGATGAGTTTTTAACCATCGTGTAATCCTAACTAAACCTATTTCAGAACTCTCACGAACCTCCTTCCAGTCTTTCCCGCAGAACACTATAGCAGTATCATCTGCATAAGAAAATACGTTTCCATTATGCATTGTCATGTTACAAGAGTGTACGTATATTAAAAATAATGTTGGACCTAAAACGTTTCCTTGTGGGATTCCATAAGTAATGGTAAAGTCGTGACTACGATGCTCACTCATTTTTGCCTGTTGTCTGCGGTTTCTTAGATAATCTTCGAAAAAATGCAATGGAACCCCTAGTATACCAATAAGCTCTAGGTTCTCTACAAGAGTGGGAACTGAGACGCTATCGAAAGCTTTTTTTATATAAAAAAATACTGTTAAACATTTGTTCCCTTTGTCCACTTGGTCAACTATGAGTGATGTTAGTGTAGTAATTGCATCTTCTGTGCCTATTCCTCGTCTGAATCCGTATTGCGAGTTTGAAATTATATTTATTTAAATACTCAATCAGACGTTTATTTATCGACTTCTCCAATATTTTGGATATAGCTGGTAGTATATTTAATCTTTTAAATAAACACTTTTTTTGAACGAGAATCGCTTCCAGCTGTCCATACATTGGGATCTTTTAAGCACACAACGGATTTAAATGCGGTATTCATCAATATACAGAGTAAGTTAAGAGGAAGTTTATATTCATAACACGGGACCACGCGGGCAAAGCCGCGAGCGGAAAGCTAGTCAGCGATATTCGTAGGGTTATTTTGTGGCGAAACGCTGCTGCGACATCGCAACGTTTCTTTCTAAAAATTTCTTTCTTTTAAACGTATACAACTGCACGACGCCAGCTGGTCGATTCTGTTAATGTACTAATAATCGCATCTCAATAGAATCTCATATACTAGTATTTTGCAATTATTCTATCTACCTCAAGTCCAATATTATTATATATCTATCACCATTGATGTGCGAGGGAGTCATTGCATTGATAACATCGGACTTCAACCCTGCGATTCAGTAAAAATCCGAACCAGTTTTCGAATACACAGGTTTAGTGCAATTCACTTCAAAAAGCGGCATCAGCTCAATCTTGAATTTGTTATAACGTTTCGTGGCACAAGTGAAATTAGTTTCGAACTGATATAGGAATAAAATATCTGAGACACGTATATCACACGTAAACGACACGTAATAATCAATTTTGTTTTGTACTTTTATACAAAAAAAAAATTAATAGAATTCCTATGACACATGAGTGAATTCGAATTCGAGTCTGGATTTTAACAGAAATGCAGAGCAGAGTTGAAATGAAGTCGTTAAGATTCTATTGAGATGAGATTATTACGTAAAGATTATCAGAATTGTTGTGTGGCTACACACTTAAATTGTTATAACGTCTATGGCAACTAATCTAAAAGCTAAAAGTAGATAGCTCTCCTTAGGTTGAGCGTTTTTTCCGCTATTATTTGATCGTGAGGCGAAGCGTTTCCAGTATAGCATTGTGAATGGAAATTTGATCAAATATAATAATTAAGTAGAACCAGATTTCATCTTTATCGAACGTTAAAGTATTTGTAAAAATATTTCTTTCGTCTGTTTGGGTGTATTGGCTGAACATTGATGAAAATACGCTTAGAGCGCTTAGTGTAAGTTTTTTTGACGTTTAGGTTCACTGTCGATCGTGAGTGCGTTAAGATTTTAGTATGGAATCCGGTACAGTGCCCCTAGCGGTAACTACCAAGAACTACAAATCTCCATACTAATTTATTAACGCGCTCACTAGTGAACGCGTTAGCGTAAAACTTACACTTACCACTCTGTAGTAGCGAATATAAATCGTCGCACGCATACACTCAAAATTTATCTATGATAAAGGCGCTCATAGGATGAGTGGCAACTCGCCGGTCGTGGCTGGTACCTACGCCGTGCCCGCGCATACTCCGCGTCGCTGTATTGCCGCTCGTTACAAGATTTATTTGAAAACGAAACGAAAATATTGTCGTGTATATTGATGTCTTAATAACAGTTTATCAAATGCAGATTGATCTTTCTTCACATTACCCAAAGTACAAGAATAGTGGGTACCTATCTAATCTACCTACTTCTTATTTATTTATTCATTGCATTGCATGCGACTTAGAAACTAAATACAAAAAATTCAGTTAATATTATTCACATGCACTTTGATAGGCATCGCAATATAGAAAGATGGAAAGAAGACGGTTACACATTCCATTGAGAATTGGTATGTATAGTTTTTATATAAAAATTTTTATTAAAATATTAATTCACTATGTAAATAGCATTTATTTATAAGGATGTTTTTTACCACTTTTATAAAACGAGTATATGATATTTTGTTCTTTAGGTATTCTGGTTATAATATCATACGTAATTATAATTTTGTGTAGCGACAGCCCTACATGCTTAAGCTATTATCTCTCGCTTGGGCCTCGAGTGACCCTAGTTATCTGGTCATACTATGGTCCCGAGTAGCTCAGTGGTTAGAGCAGTCGCCGGATTGCAAACGGTCGTGGGTTCGATTTCCATCTGAGAGTGCCAAGGACAAAGCGGATTTTTTAAGCATTTATCATTAAGAATATAATAAAAACTTTTCAATTCTTCTAGCATTCAACATACTCATGACCGAATTGCAATCATTGCAAATTTGGTAATGGTAATATCGAAGATTCTCACTTTCAATAACACCCAGCTTTTAAAATAATACAACATTTTATTATAACAAGTTATATTTAATCAAAATATATAAAATACATTCTCTTAAATATATAACAACATATTTGTAATATTTTATATATATATAACCCTTTTTATATATAAACCTTAGTTTATTAATCTTTAATAAACCATACATTATAGATTGATAACCCTTACGAATATGAAATTTATAATTATTTCATTGCAATGTGACTTTCAGAGTGAGTGAATAAGACAAAACACTGTATAACTACACAACTCTTATACAACGCATAATTGGTAAGGCCGTAAAATAATTATAATAATTATTTTGTTTCAGTTTTGAGCAAACTTAATATCCAAGTGTGTCCTTTGTAATTTATTGGTACATCTTATTGTACTAAAATGTATGGTATTTCAATATTTCTCATATGGCAACAATTTTTTTTTATATAATTTAATAAAAACTTATTTGATATGAAGTTATTAAATGAAATATTTGATATGAATATGTCCTATAATTTTAATAAGGAATGTTTTTGACAAGTTCATGTGACTTAAGGCAAACTGGAAAGAGGTGGATAATGGAATTTGTTAGATTAATTCTAATAGCACTGATGACATGGCAATGATGACGATGTAAATGTCGACGCTGGAAAGCAAACACGTAGTAACCTGCAAAACCAAAATGGATATTTAGAATGAAAAATCTTTAGATTTTTCCAAAAAAATATATCTTATTTCTGTATCAATTGACTAAGAAACACCTTATTTCTTATCATGGACGTTTATAGGAATTATTTATCGAAAAAAATCAAAGTTTTTCTGCTCTGAAGAACAATTTTGGTTTTGCGGGTTACTACGTGTTTGCTTTCCAGCTTCGATGTGATGATAGTGAAATATCGCATTATGCGATTTTATATTGGGATAACACTGCGATATTGCAACCAATCTGTTAAAAATCTGCGGAATACAGGATGCAACGTACCTATCAAATTAATAATAAATGTGATCTCACTTCATTTTGTTCGTTTGTTTTCAATGTGAATCACATACATTTATAACAAATTTATTCATTTACTTAAAACAGCCACTTCTTTATTTTGGTGTTGCAATATAGAAAGTGCATATCAAATTATTACATACCAAAACAGACAGAATGAATTTATTTAAAAAAATGGGTAAATCGATTTTCGTTTTGAGCCAGAATATCCAATGGCAAACTCATAAAAAAAACGGAAATGTTATAATTATGACGTAAACCGGATTGTTAAATCTAGTGAAGGTCTATTTAAGTCTAGTGGAAACTAAGTAATTAATCTTATTGCATAGAATGTGTGGGATAATATATAACGCCGCTCCGATAATACACAACAAAGGCAAATTAAGACACAAAAATGAAAGATGAACTATGATTTTGAACTGACCAGTAATTGTGGAACAGGGTATAGACATCAAACAGGACAATGGAGCAGGATTATGTCAGCGAGCAGTAACAAATCCCTGAGTGAGTTTGTTGAGGTACTGTTGACGGCAGGCCATGTCGTCAGCGGGCCGGTTGTATGGCAGCCACACTGGTTCACCGATGAAGAATCTCTTCGCTTTTATGAAGTTCTACAACAAAAGATTTGGGGCGTTAGTGACATATTTACAAAAATATATATCATACATCTAACATTCACAATACACTGACATTTATGCTACAGAACACTTATTAAAAATTAGAATCTCTGTTATCCGAAATGGAGTTCGAATCATTAACTATAACCTTTTGATTAACCCGGCGATTATTTTAACCAATAAGGTTATCTAAGAATGACCATGAAACATCGGAAATTAAGTGAAGAAAACGATATATAGTTGAATAGACCAAAGCCCATAAATAACAAATTATTAGAACTCTAGTAAACTTTTTTAACTATCCTCTTTTTTCTGCACACAGAAGCAAATAGGTTATCACAAAATGTTATATTTCAGTAACTGATTTTGAACTATCCTCGTAATGAAATAAGTTTTAAAATCCAGTGGACTTCAATAGTTATGTATAACTTGATTTTTTGTTTATTAAACTGTATGGAATTTAGAATTATTATTACTAGGCAATTTCTATTGGGATTTTACTTTTGAAAAATTAGCCTTCGATTTATAATCTGTGTATATGTGTGTGTATATCTGTGTATAAAGCATATTTCATTCATTCATCGTGTGACGTCAAACCGCAATAAACTACATATCAACGTCATACACTTTTTAGTAGAGAAAAAAACTGATAGTGATTTAATATGATCATATGAAAATATGAAAATACTTTTCCTACAACAGACATATATTGTAATTTTACTCAACAACTTTCCATTATTTTAATATGAGTTGGAATTAATATTCTTTGCATAAAGATTATTATTATGTGAGTGCAAAGGCTGCACTCACAGTGTCTGCCTGGATGTGCGGTGTAGTGGGGAGTGATAGTGGCCAACTCATAGTAAAGGGCTAGTATTGTTCCACCTATAGCAGCACCTGATTAAATGTCCCCAATACTAACCTTGGTGTCAAGTGTGAAGCGGTGGTATATACCGGCAGGTATAATAATCATGTCTCCGGCAGATACTGCAATACGTATCCACTGGTCAGAGCCGTCCCTGACATCGAAATAGCCCGACCCATCCAAAACAAACCTGGAAAGATTGTCAGTTATATTACTAACACATCACATAAATCTACCATAATATAAAAAATGCAAAAGGAATTTTTGTGTTATGCTTTCAATTAGATAAAAAATTATATTGAGATAACTTGAAGCCTAGAGAAGAAAAGAGTACTTTTTAAAAATTGCTGGATAGTTACTAAAAAATTGCCGGAAAAGTTACAAAATGGAAACTAATTACCATTATTTATTAAAAGTCTTTGAACTTATGACATACATGAAAAATTTCAAAGGTACAAAAATATGTTTAAAAGAAAAAATATTGATTTGTATTACATCAGATAGCTTAATCAAGATTTTAACCAATGTAATAGAATTTTTTTGTTTATTATATGTTGGAACATTGTGTTTTATCAATAATATTCAATGCTATTATTTTATTTTCCTGGTATTATATCCTTTTGTTATACTTTTGGTAACTTTGATGAATATTTCTATACCTGATTTCCTCATCAGTGTGAAGATGTTCTTTGTAGAATGTTTTCAATTTCTCCTCATAGTTTGGCAGACACTCTTTTGAGCATATTATCTCATCTTCATATGTATAGCCACGCTCCTTTTTCAATGCATCCAGTACTCCATCTGATGCATATGTATCAACATTCAACTGTATATGTCATAAAAATAAGAAAAATGAGTATACAATTAAATACACAAAATTACAGTATGATATAAACTCTTGAACATGAATTTTTGCAAACTGTGCCACATTCTTATTTTAATTATTAAGAGGTTAGTCAACTCCTTTTTTTAATTATTTAATATATAGATTATTATTATCTAAGAGGATATGACAAAAATGTGCATGACCTTTCGACAGATTGATATTTCAATATGTTGAAGTGATAAGGTCAAGGGCTGGAAACACCTGGTGGAGTGGCTATACTTCAACATACTAAAAATCAAACTCCAGAAAATTCCTGCACAATTTAGTCATGAGTTCTCCATCTATGAGTTGGATTAATTTTGTAAATTAAGCTGAAAACATACTTTGCAACAGCTAGGGTTGGGTTGCCATCATTTCTTCAATATAACAGAGTATTTTTCACAATAAGCTATAAAAACATAATAGTTATTATATATTTGAAAATTACTCAATCAGCTCAAAATAGGTAAGAGTTTTTCACAGGGGTCATGTGGGTTGAAATCTGATACTTTACATTTTTATAGTTAATTTGAAAAATATTATATTACATTGCCCACAACTGTGAATGATAATAGCAGCAATAAGTAATGTTAGTTGGGTGTCCCTAAACCTTTCACCTTACTAAGATTAAATTAAGGTAAATAATGGTGATTTTGATGCTATGAATCTTGCACTATTGGTTTATTTATCTAGTCAAAAGAGTCTTTAAATAAGGTACAATGCTCACATTTTAGTTGTGTTTTGTTTATAAATAAATTAAGCAGATTGCTACTTTAGACTTTTAAAGATAATATAAGAGCTAAAATATGCAAGTAAGAATGACAAGTAAAAACTGACTTTAGTTATCAGCTGACTTCGAAGACATTGTTATCTTAATGTTTTGTTTGAACAATGTCTCTACAGAATGTTTAGTGTTAAATTACAACATAAAACAGAAACAAGTTATATTAACTTTAGTCAAATCTTTTAGTGACAACTTAATGCAAAAACTTACGTTGAAGTATTCAACGCCGGTTCTGCTATACAGTTCCTCAAGTGATATGAATTCAGGAGGACTTCTGTGGTGCTCCAGTCGTTGGTCGCTCATTGTATCCTCGTCCATGTACCACGCCTTTACCATTTTGTCTAAAAATTATTATTTTATTTGCGGTTTTAACTAAAAAGACAAGTTTAATTATAAGAGAAACAAACAAAACTTATTGAGACTATTATTCTGTTTTCGAGTAGTGGTGTACGGAACCAATTACCATTAATCGATTATCGATTTTTAAAATAATCAGTTTCCTAATCGAAAATTAACAATTGATTGTTACTTGAAACGTTAGCAATAGGAATGGTTTAAAACGTTAGAATAGTACCTATTTATTTGACTTCGATGGTTCAGCAACCCTTAGTGGGTTGCGAGTGTGAATATTATTAGTAGATTTTCTATTACTTATTTTGGCAAACCTCGCACGAATAAATAGGTAACTTTACTCTTTGTTCGGTGAACTCCCGACGAATGCATGAACGGATCTTACGTTTTTATTTTAACAAATACAAATTAATCGTTTCTTACTAAATGCATACGTATGTATACACGATACATACCTATACCAAAAAAAAAATCTTTTTACATTTTTTCTAATCTAATTTAATCACTGAAACTGCTGGATCGATTAAGACAGGACTTTCATTGGCAGATAGCTTATACGCGGACGAAATCACGGATGCAACTAGTTTAATTCTATAAATTTTAAATACGATGGAATTAATCGGAAATCATTAATAAACTTTTTGGGTAAAAATATTTAATAATCAATTGCGAATAATACTATATTCGATTTGTATAATAATCGAATCTGCACATCATTATTATTTAGACACACCACAGACCAAGAAGGAGATACTTCTATACATAGTTTCATTTTAAGTGACGAATCGCGATGCCGACATTATCTGTTTTATGGCGTAGAAATGATTTACGTTATTTACTTTTACGTTATTACAAGATCCACATAGTTATAAGTAATATATTTAAAAAGCAGGATGGAATCACATTTCACACGTAACTATTGGAGAAAAAGATTTAAGAATGAAATTTAAGTTATTCCTTGGAACACAAAACATCAGCCAAATATTACCATCGTTAAACGTTATTATTTACCCCGAAATCAGGTAACTTTTATTTTATAACGCGTTATTTCTAACAAAACACAAATTACGTTATGTATTTGTTTCTTGTTGTGATATTTAATAAATTTTGCATTCAAAATGCTACATAGAGATCAAGATCACAGATATTGATTTAATTTAATTTTGTGATAAAATTAGGTAAGGATTCGTTAAAAGTATTGAAACTTTTTTATTTTATATCGATACATTTGAAGGTTTTCTTTTTGGTTTTTTTCTTTATCATAAACATTTTACGACTCATTTATATTTGTTGACAGGGCTCGCACTTTACAGCCTGTCGACCTACAGATGGATGAGACATTAGTACGAAAAAGAATGTTCTACTTTTTTATACGTGCATATAGTATGTCTTGATTCTTTCTTTCTGTATTTATTTTTGGCAGTTCTTATCAGTAGAAGCGGCAAAGTATTCTGTTATCAGTAAATTACTATAAAGTACTCGATACCTACATACATCGAAATGAAATGAAATGAAAATGAAATGAAATGAAATGAAATGAAATGAAATGAAATGAAAATATCTTTATTCAAGTAGGCTATTACAAGCACTTTTGAATCGTCCAAAAAACTTTTTACCCCTACCACTTGTTCAGGACGTCTTTTAGCTGACAAGAAGAACAAGCGAAAGAAACTTATCAGCTTTTTATCATAAGTAATGACATTTACATAAATCATGTCATTACCAAAATAATATGTATTATCAATTTATCACAATAGTAAATACAACTTTCAAAGTCTGTAGGACATAAGTTGAACATATAATTAGTCTTTATAGAACAAAGCGAAGGCTATTAATTCCATGCATTGCGATCCTTAAAATAATCATCAACTTTATAATAGCCTTTACTCACAAGTATATTCTTTACATGAATTTGAAATTTATTTATGGGTAGGTCAATTACATTTTGTGGAACTTTATTGAACATAGCAATACATTTACCCAGAAATGATCCTCTGGTTTTTTGAAGTCTGAAGCTTGGAACGGCAAGTTTATCTTTATTTCTTGTGTTAAGATTATGAACACTACTTTTTTTTGTGAAGAAATCGTAATGTTTTCTTGTATACATAATATTCTCATAGATGTATTGAGAGGCAACAGTCAGAATATTTATTTCTTTAAATATTTCTCTTAGAGATTCCCTAGACCGTAAATTATATATAGCACGGACAGCTCTCTTTTGTAAAATAAAAACATCCTGAATGCTAGCCGCAGAACCCCATAACAATATACCATACGTCATTACACTATGAAAATAACTAAAATATACCAATCTTGCCGTTTCAACATTTGTCAAGAGTCTAATTTTCTTAACAGCAAAAGCTGCAGAACTCAGTCTACTTGACAAGCTATCAATATGAGGATCCCATTGCAGTCGGGAATCTAGTGTAATACCAAGGAACTTTGTCGATTCTACTAACTCAACTTTTTCACTATTTACATTTATAAGTGTACTGACATGCCTCACATTAGGTAATGCAAACTTTATGCATTTCGTTTTATTTGAATTGAGCTTTAAATTATTATTATCAAACCACTGTAGAACGTTGTCGAGAGCATTATTTACATCGTCAAAACAATCATTACCCCTCTCAACTTTAAACAGTAAAGAGGTGTCATCTGCAAATAATACTGTCTCGCACAAATTCTTCGTAAAGTGAGGAAGATCATTTATATAAATTAGAAAAAGCAATGGTCCTAATATCGATCCCTGAGGTACGCCCATAGTAACTGGTGCCCCTGCAGATTTCGCTTCATTGATTACTACCTTTTGTATTCTAGCAGAAAGATATGATCTTATTAGATGAAGTGAATTTTTCGTCACACCATAATGTTCTAATTTCCCCAACAGTGTTTCATGACTAACGCAGTCGAATGCTTTTGATAGATCACAAAAAATGCCAATAGCATCTTGTTTATTCTCCCAAGCATCATAGATATGCCTCAGAAGTGCAATTCCAGCGTCTGTTGTACATTTACCTCTTCTAAAGCCAAACTGATTTTGGTGAAGTAATTTATTTAATGAAAAGTGTGCAAGCAGTTGATTGTACATCATTTTCTCAAATACTTTACTTAATGCTGGTAGAATAGAAATTGGTCTGAAATTACTAGGATCAGACTTGTCGCCTGCCTTGAAAAGTGGGATTATTTTACCATATTTCATTAAATCAGGAAAAGTTCCTTCATCAATGCACTTATTAAAAATAAAAGTTAATTGAGGTGCTATAGCTGGTATTATAGATTTGATAACATAAGTTGAAACGCCCCAAAGATCTTCGGTTTTTTTGACATTAATACAATTAAATGTTTTAATAATTGAGCAGACGTTAACGTGTCTAAAATAAAATTCAGTATTGCACTTATCAACAACTGACTCTAGATGCGTAACCGCAAGTTTAGAACATGAACTAAGATTTCTTGTGATTTCTATTGGTGTCTTAGAAAAGAATTTCTCAAATGTCTCGGCAACCGCTTCATCTGTTTTAATAATTTTATTGTCAACCTCTAATGAGTATGTGCGCATATTACTTTTATTTTTTCCCGTTTCTTGATTTATGATAGTCCAGGTTGTTTTTATTTTATTTTCTGAATTGTAAATTTTTTCAGATATATATTTTGCTTTTGCTGAAACACATACTTTCCTAAAAATTTTCGAATAATTTCTGACATATTCAATAAACTTTGGATCGGTCGAGGTACACTTTAGCTCATACAAATCATACAGCCTATTTCGACTTTTGTAGATGCCAGGTGTAGCCCAATCACTAAATTTCTTTTTTTGGTTAGTAAAGTTAATTGTTTTGAGTTTAAATGTTTTATCAAATTCTCCCTTTATCAAGTTAAAGAAATTATTATAAACATCATTTATACATATTTTCCAAATTACTAGTTGTCAACTGAGTATGATTTGCAGAAACACTGTTTTTAAATTTTTCTAAATTACTTTTGGTAATAGGTCTACAAATTATATTGCATTTAGGAGAAACATGATGGTGCTCGAAAGTTGCTAGAACTCCGCTATGGTCAGATTGAATACAATTTATAATCGATTTTTTGAACACCTTACATTTACAAAAAATATTATCTAAGCAAGTAGCAGATGTGGGTGTAATGCGGGTAGGTTCATTAAAAATATTTTCTAAATTAAAACATTTAAACAAGTTCAAAAATCTACTTGATTTAGCACATTTTATTAAAATATCTATATTAAAATCACCACATATCACTACTTTCTTATCGACTTTGCAAATTAATTTAAATGCATCCTCCATAGCAGATTCAAATTGACAGTAGTCCCCATCAGGTGGTCTATATACACATATAATAATATACTGTTCAAGTTCCACACATGACAATTCAATATGTCGCTCAATTGAGAGGGATACTATATCTTTACGTTCTTTACATTTTAAATAATTACTTATTATTATTAAAGAACCCCCTCGTATGGCATTTATCCTACAGAATGAACTTATAATTTTATAATTTTTAAAACCCGTAATTAATTCATAATTTTTGAGCCAGTGCTCTGTAATACATATTATATCAATATTCATACTATTTAAACACATTTCTAATTCTAGATCTTTTCCAGAAAAGCCTTGTATATTTTGGTGAACAATAGTTAAATAGGTAGACTTTTCCTTGGTCATCTTATTGCTAGAGATTTTCTCTATTGTCTTATTAAACAATTTAAATTATTTAAATTGTCAAAATTTAGTTTTGGAACATATTCCAAAGTCTGTTTGTTTAAGTCAAAATCATTCTGCATCGATATTTAATGGATCTTTCTAACACTACTTTGACATGACAGCTGATGACGTCACAGGCTGTAAATAGAATCGTGATTGGTTGTGACGACGACCAATTATAGGACGTTTTCGTCCTTGAAAAATTCCGAAAAGGCGGGAATCCTTTGAACGAAGAGGGCGCGTTTTTTAAAACAAATTTTAAGTTTTATTATATTTATTGTTAAAGCCTTATATAAACAGTATAAACAAATTATTTAATACATAAAAGGTAGTACTACGTAAAAAGTGGGCTAAGAATTATGGGGAAAAGAAAGAAACACAAATTAGACGGAGATCCGGTTCCAAC